GAGTACCCCACTCGCAGCTTCCTGACGAACACTAATAGACAATGATACTTGTGATATCGTGTTCCTTCCCCCCTCCGGTCAAAAGTTGCTCCCCGATGAACTGTTGCCAACCACTCGATAATGATTTCCTCCAGGTATTTTCTGTTGCCAATTAAAAAAATATTAGATAAATTCCATATCTCATTGTAGATGAAGAGATTTTTTAATTTATCGTATATTATTGTCAATGTGAAAGGTGGCAAGGTATTGAGAATTCAAATTCTGCGAACATCTTACGAGATATAATATATATTGAAACGAATGTTACTACCGTAACAGTGCGATAAGTTCCATCAGTCGTTCGTACTCCGTTGCGAGTAAATTAGGAATTATTGAGGATTTTACGAAGGGGACGGGGTTTTCTCTCGAGTTTTGAGCAGTTTTTGAGATTTTCCGCATTAGATTAGTTAAATTCTGTGAATATCTATTAAATGGTCGAAAATTGGCCAGTGAACGATGGTTTAAACGTGTCAAAACCACCTATAATAAATGTGTAAAGCGATAGATCTGAACTGTTTCAGTGTGAATTGTTGCCGTTGCGGCAATTTTTTCAGTGAAATCCTTTTGAAATAATCGATGTTTCCAATGGAAACCGTTAAAGTCATCAGATAGACTCTCTGTTCCGTTGTTTACTCAATTTTAAATAAGCGAAATTTTTAAAACCAGTGTATTTTATTTCATTTTCTTAATTGTTCTCCTCCGCCATTTATTGAACGCTCGTTAAGTTGTGGTATTCTTCAGTTATTAAAGTACGCAATGTGTAGAATTTTTGATTCGTTGCTGGAATTTTAGTGATTCAACTAGTATTGCAGGGCAATTAATTGAAAGAGGAAAAGAGGTGAGAAAATATGGCTGAGCAAATGCAATTGAAAGGTACCCTTAAAGGGCACAGTGGATGGGTTACGCAAATTGCAACCAATGCTAAACATCCGAACATGATCATTTCATCATCAAGAGGTTTGTCTTTCATTTTCCACTTTAAATTCCCACTGAAAATTTGATTTCCCGAATTTCCGCATGCGTTCACCTAATAAAAAATTTATTTGGTGTAATTTACTCAAACTCAAGCCTTCTTTCATTTCTTGCAGAAAACTAAATTCAGCCAAATGTAAGGTTGGAAAATAAAATTTTATAAATAGGTTGTTTGAAGTTTTGCAAGAAGTTGACAGAAATGTTCTGCAGATAAGTCTATAATTGTGTGGAGATTGGACGGTGATGATATGACATCAATGACACAGTTGGGTGGTAAGGCGGAACGTGCACTGACAGGACACGGGCATTTTGTATCCGACGTTGTGATGTCCTCGGATGGACAGTTCGCCTTATCCGGCTCATGGGACAAGACTCTCCGACTTTGGGACTTGACCACGTTCGTGCGCTTTCTAATCTCATTCTTTGTTCACTTACTCTTGCTGAAAATTTCACCAACTTTTGCGTTTATTTTTGAAAGTTTTCACTTTACACAGTTTTTATTTAGCGAATCTTCCGTAATTTTCGGATATTCTTCGCTTTTTAAGACAAATTTTATTGCATAATTCAGCTGTGATACATTGGAATGAGATTGTTTTGAAGTGTGCATTCGATGAGGATTGAATATGTGTTATTCTGATTGAATTGCAGTGGTCAAACATCACGACAATTCGTCTCGCACACCAAAGACGTGCTCTCAGTGGCATTTTCGGCTGACAATCGACAGATCGTTTCGGGATCGAGAGATAAGACGATCAAGTTGTGGAATACACTCGCCCAATGCAAATATACCATCGGAGTAAGTCGTCGCTGCTGTTGTTGCTCTAGGCGTTACTCTCAAATAAAGTCATCGCATCTGTAGACAAACTTTCTGAAAATTTTTTGATAGTGAAGAAATGTATTTTGAGGAAGACTGCCATACTGACTGGGTATCGACCGTACGATTCTCGCCATCCAGCTCGAACCCTGTGATTGTGTCGGCCGGTTGGGATAAGATCGTTAAAGTGTGGAATTTGGCAAATTGCAAACTGAAGACGAATCATATCGGACACAGCGGATATATCAACACCGTCACTGTATCACCAGACGGCTCGTTGTGCGCTTCTGGTGGAAAAGTTAGTGCTTATTGTTTTCGTTGTGTTGATGTTTCGGTTGTGAGGATGCTGAGTGGTGATTCAATCGGTGTTTTGAGAATAANATATTGTAGTGATAATTTTAGATGGATTGATTTGATCAGAGAGTGGAGTATTTATTAGAAAATATGTGAAATTGGTGATTTGTATAAAATGGAATAGTGAGTCTTAACAAGGAAATGAAATTATTGATGCATTAAGATAATAAAAATTTGATTGTTGGTTTGATAAGCGAATTAATTGATGTTTGTTTCGATTTGAGGATGGAAATGCGATGTTGTGGGATTTGAATGAAGGCAAACATTTGTACACTCTCGGTGGAAACGATGTTATCAATGCGTTGGCGTTCTCACCAAATCGTTACTGGTTGTGTGCTGCGGTTGGACCGGTTGTGAAGATTTGGGATTTGGAGGATAAGAAGGCGGTGGATGAGCTGAAGTTAGATGTGATGAGCGGATCGAAGTGTGTGCCACAGTGTATATCGTTAGCGTGGTCTGCTGATGGCCAGACCTTATACGCTGGTTACACTGATAACGTGATTCGTGTATGGCAAGTTTCGGTAGCACAGATTCGCACCTAAGAAATTGAGCTGAGGAATTGTTTTGATTGATATATTTCGAGGATGGGAATGAATGAATTTTGATGTTTGGAATTTGAATTGACAATGAAATAGTTTGGAGATTTGATTTATTTGCTTTGTTGTTGTTCTTGAAATGGAATAATCGGTTGATTTACAAATCGATAATTGTGTTGTTTTGTGTGGTTATGATTGTTAATAGTTATTGTTGACGTTGGAGGTGAGTATGTTGTGAAAACAATAAACAAATAAACGAATTCATTTGTTTATATTGCAAGTGATTTGACAGAATAAATCGTTGTTAACCGTATGCAGTTGGTATAACTTGAACAGTTGAGGGCACTCTTACGACCATTTGATTACACTTTATCGGTTTGGATTGACACTTGCACTTAGTGATTAGATATGAATATGGATATGAACTGAGTTGTGGAGTATTTGCGTGATTTAGGATTCGGATTTTGATTATGGNGAGGCGGATGAAGAATGTGGTTTGTATGAATAGAGTTGGAAACTTGATTGTGGTGAGTAGAATGCGGTGGTGCTATCATGGTGGAGTTGAATTGAGATTCAATAGCATGCACGAATGAGTGCGTATCTTGCTGGATATTGAATTCAGAGCGGCTTAGATCATATTGAGTTCTAAATCAAATGGATAAAAGCGGATCTATTTAAATGGATACATATGAATATATCTTGGATATACCTTGAAGATATTCGATGGAAAAATATGAAAGAAAGATTCAGTGTAATGAATCAAACGGTGAAGTGCAAGAACTGGAATACCAGCAAAACGCATTGGGATGCAATCGGATTCACGAGCAATTAATTAGTCGGTATGTTGATGTTTGTTAAAATAGTTACTTCTTTTGATTCACTTCTCAAACCTAATGAAATTTTTTTTGTTGTGTATTGTTGATGAAGGTATTGTGCGGAATTGATGAGACAGAAATTTCGTTATGATCGATTAAACGAATACGGATTTAAGATAGCGGTCTTATAGACTGCAAAATGAGAGTTGAGATCGCATATTTCTATGAGAATAACTTCAAGAGACACTCAACAATCCGACTATGACACAACAATCCATCCACTGTGGAAGAATATTTGTTTCTTTTTTGAAATAATGAGAGAAGAGCTTGAAATTCTAAAACCTGATTTGTCGAGTTAAAAGAAAAACTTGAGACAAGACCTTGAGGATATTACCATGGCCCAAACCATTTCAAAACTTTACTTTAAGATATCTTTAAGTAGTGATGCAGTTATTTTAAAACTAATGAGCCGATAAATGAACACATTTTTGCTATTAGCCAACATGTCGGAGTTGAGGAATGCGTAAAGGTTGAGAAGAGATATGCTATAAGTGGCGATAGGGCTGGTTGTAAATTGAAGTGATTAAATTAAATTAATGACATGTGTACGGCGTGTGTTCAGTTGTATGCAGTTCAAATGGTTCAATATTTTCGATGTTTTATGTAGGAATGTGTAAATGATTTAAAAGAGTGTTATGGGAATTGAGGTTATCTCGTAAGAGGAGGAAAGAGCGGTGTTTATGAGTGTATGCGATTACGTATCGAGCAGATGGATAGATGTGTTGAATAACATGCGATTTATTGCCGATCGCATTTTTGCTAGATCTCATCTTGCACTTAGGCGTTTCGGGTTTGATTGGTTTCACGGGATATTGCACGGAGAAGAGCAGTATTGTGCAACCATTTTGATGGGTAGAAATGGTTACAATTTACTGCAAATAGACGAC